TCATTTTTATAGACCCAACAACATATTTCACAATCCTCTGTACAGACTAACATAACAACTGATCTGTGTAAAATAAAAGACAGAGTGGCTGAATTATTAATAGTACAGATTAGGGCATAATGAAAAGACTATACTCTATCAATAAAAAATTAACCATATGCCATTTTTGTTACTTCTATTCAAGGGAAAGAGGATTCTTCACAAACTTTTTTAAAAAATGTTTATCTAGTCTTTTATTTTATTAGTACATAATATCTACATTCCTTGTGGGAAGCTGGTACATGTATATAACACATCTTAATTTTTTTTATCCCCTTTCCCTTCCCTCCTTGCCCCTCTACCCATCTTTTGATCCCCTTCCTTTTTTTTTTGTATGTTTGCGGTACATAATATTTACATTCCTTGTGTGGAGTTGGTACGTGTTTATAAATTCTAATCTAAAAGAGTTCTATATAAGGTCTTATAAATGAAAAAGCTATCAGTTATTTTTGAGTCCAGAGTGAAACAGATTATAGAGGATAATTTGAATGTAGAAAAGTATGCCAATAAGCACCATAATTTTGTTCACTGGGAGACAAAATCTGAGAGAATAAGCAGAAGGAACTTATGTAATAGAGAATAGCATGCTACTCTGTCTCAGAAAACATCTGTCTCAAAGCCTAATGAAGAAATGAAGGTTGCTGCTCATCACTCCTTACTAAAAATCCTCTTCTTTCCTCTTAAAAGCCACAAATTCTCCTTGGATCTTCTTTTCTCTGCCTCTGACTGCTTTATGAAACCATTTTTTTGGTGGATTTCCCTTCTTTCAGTCATCCCATAAATGCAGCTGATACCTTTTTACTTCACACATTTCCCAGGTAAGTATCTACTCTTGCTTCAACTACTGTCTATTTGCTAATGAATTCAAAATCTACAAATCTGGTTCAAATCTTTCTCAGGAGTTCCAGCTACAAAACTACTGTCACACACTCTAACTTCTAATCAATTAGAAATTCAGAGAAGACATACATCTTTAGTTGAAAATTACTCATAAATATAAAAATTCTGTAGTATTAGGAAACTATTATATACACTGGAAAATGGAATTTACTACTAAGTGGTAGATGAAAGACTACATTAAAGGTCAATCAGGTTTTGGAACTTAGGAAAAACATTTTCATTACCTTTCCCAGTTATACAGATTAATATTGATCTGGATTGCTTGATAAACAAGGCCAGCCTGAAGAAGAATTATTTCAGCCTCCTGTATGTTCCCACTAAACAGTAGTATGTGGGCCATTTTTGATTCTTTAGATGGAAGATCTTTTATAGAATTGATGTATTGGACTTTGTCAATCTAGAAAAAAATATGTGAAGTAGATAATAAGAAATATTGCAAATTATGGTGAGTAAAAACATACACATGTTCATATATGTAAACTTTATTTACTTACTTCACCTATGGCTGCATAGGCTATTTCTGCAGTAATCATATCTCGATTAGCAATTGCCATAGCAGCTAGGCAAGCCCACATGGTTTGCTCCTAAAGTAAAATATGAAAACATTGTCTCAACTACATGAACTACCTTAAAATAAACAATGATGAAAATATTCATAATAAAATAAGACAATTTTAAAAAGAAAAAATTATGGAACATGCAACTGAAAAAAAATTCATCAAGTAGAAATTTCATTGTGGCTATTTTGTTAAAATATACTAATACACAGGGAGTTCCTTTCAAATAAATTTTTGTAAATATTTTTATTTCTAATTATCAAAGATTTATTTATTTTTGTGATTCTGAGGATCAACCCCAAGGCCGTTCACATGCTAGGCAAATACTGTATCACTGAGCTACAGACACAGCCCAAGAATTTAGTTTTTAATTAAAAATAACTCAAGGTTATAAAACACCCAGTCTTTCTGATGAGGTAACAAAAACCACAACTTACAAGTAACTAGAGGAACAGTGAGGTTCTTAGACAATGGTATTATGGCAGATTACCACCAATAACTCATTGTGAGGGAAAAAAATCTAAACATTACCTCATAAAACTACAGTAAGTGATGTTATCTGATACTTAATAAAAGAGGTCTATGCTCAAATATCTTTGGAAAATACTAAATTCAACCAAGCTTGAAAATGCTGATCTAAAGTAGATTTTAACATAAGCTGTACAAAACTCATTTGAGTAACTTAAAAAAATTGCCCAGTCCTCCTCAATACAGACCTAATGAATTAGAATCTCTGTGATGGTAGAACTCAGAAACCTGACCTGGTGGGGGTGGGTACTAGGGATTGAACTTACCGTATTATACATGCTGGGCAAGCACTCTACTACTGAGCTACATCCCAGCTTCTTTTTTAAATTTTTAAATAGGGTTTCATTAAGTTGATTAGGCTGGCCTTCAACTTGTGATGTTTCAGCCTCTCAAGTGGCTAGGATTATAGGTATGCATCACTGTGCCTGGCTAGGAACCTGACTTTAAAAAAAATTCCACAGAAGATGTTTATAGGTGTCATATAGAGAAACTACTGGTCTAATTACAGATTCTTCAAAGAATAATTCAAACAGCAATATCTATTCTTTGTGTTCATTTACAGAACAAAAGAGCCAGGCATGGTGGTGCACACCTGTAATCCCAGTACTCGGGAGGTAGAGGTAGGAGGATTGCTGTAAGTTCGAGGCTAGCCTGGGCTACATAGTGAGTTAAGAGCCAGCCTGAAATACAAAGCAAGACCCTGTCTCAAAAAAAAAACAAAAAAAAACCCCCAAAAAACAAAAGACAGGATTGTATTAACAATTTTCCTAGCCCTTAGATATCATTACCCATCTTACACAAAGTTAGGCCCACAGACAATACATACATAATATGGATCTGAATGTAAAGTACCTTTACAAAACGACAAAGTCTCACAGCATCCTCCCATTTTGAACTGCCTACGTATTCGTGGAGAATAGCGGGATATGGTGATATGCTGATATGTACCAGGGAGCCATCTGCTCTTCTTATAGTTACCTGATTTCCAACAAAACTCATAATATGGGGATTTTTACTAAATTCACTGTTTAAAAAAAGGCAAAGAACAACTTAAAGTAATAAGCAAAAGTTTGGGGACTATAACCTTGAGATAGACAGACAGACAGACAGATAGACAGAAACACACACTATCCAAAATAAACTCCCCTCAATTAACTTTAGGGAATTTTGTAAGATTTAATTCTAAAGTTTAAAAAAATATAAATGTTGAATTAGTTTTAGTGCCTAACATAAGATCATTTTAATTATAAGAAAATTTTATTTTTAAAGAATGATTAAATGTTATTAAAATAAAACATTCGAATCTAACTTGCTATATAAAAATACTGTACTTGAAGCAAAATAAAACAAGTTTAAAGAGACAAAACTTATATATTTGAGAGCTGTTCCTAAAGTGATCATTTTGAAGTGACCACTTGCTATTATTTAGATCTTAACTTTCTGCTAAAGGTCCATAGGGTAGAGACTTGCTCCTCACAGAGTCCTACTGGGAGGCTGTACAGCCTGCAGAGACATGCTCTTGAGGGGACAGTGAGACTCCTGCCCCTTCCTCTTTTTTCGGGGCATGAGATAGAGGTTTCGATCCATCCCATGCTACCACCATGATGTGCTGCCTCACCACAGGCTTAAAAGCAACACGGCCACTTGATTATGGACTGGAGCCTCTGAAAATGTGAACTCTTTATAAGGTGATTATCTCAGATATTTGTTATAGTGACGGAATATTAAGACTTCTCTATTTCCTGAGTCTTCTTTTTTTGGTACTGGGGATCAAACTTGGGTCCTTGTGCTTGCGGGGCAGGCAGCAGAACCACTGAGCTAAATCCCCGGCCCTATTTCCTGAGACTTAATGTAAATGACTAAATAACTTAGCTTTAGCTTTTAAAGATATCAATGAGGTAAGCTAGTAAAAATTAAGCTGAATTCCAAGATTATTTTCTCATAGTAAAAAGAAGTGAATTTTAAATAAGGAGATGAGTATCTTTTCATTAAAGTATTTTTTAAAATAAGTTGTTTTATTTTGATACCTCTTTGGTTTTCCTAAAGTTGTAAACTCGAATATTAAAAACAAACTCAAGCCAGGGATGTAGCTCAGTGGCTCTGTGCCTGCCTTGCAAGCGCAAAGGCCTGAGTTCCATCCCTGGTACAAAACAAAACAAAACAAAACAAAACTTAAAACATCTTTGAAAACAAAACTAAGGTTTAGATTTAAGAAGTCTTTGTATTCCTATTTTGTTAAGGCTAAAAGATCTCCTATCAGAAAAGTTAGGAATATAAATATATGATTTTATGAAGCATTTATATTATTTAAAGCTTTTCAGTAATTCATTTTTATTTTAATATCAACCAAAAGTTCAATTTGAGACACATATATTCTTTTGTTTTTTTTTTGGTACCAGGAATCAAATTCAGGTCCTTGCTCTTGCACAGTAGGCGGTGAAACCACTGAGCTAAATCCCCAGCCCGACATATTCTTTTTAGTAAGTTTATTTATTGGTACATTTTAGGTATACAATATAGTTACATTCATCATTGGGATCTTGTACCTTTACATGATGTATCTTGGTTCTTATTTTTTTCCCCATTCCCTGGCCCTCCCTTCAACCCCTCCACCCTTCCCTATTTACAAATAATTTGTTTCCTTTTTTTTTCCTTTTCTCATATTTTTCTTTCCCCTTCTTTCCTTTCCCCATCCCTTCCATTTGCCCTATTCCTTTAGACCTTTTCTTCCTATTTCACAATATCAGTTATACATTTTGATCCTTATTTACACTTTTAGTTTTCCACACCAGAGAAACTATTCGGTATTTACACATGTGAGGACACATATTCTTGAAAGTCTTAAAGTCAATGATAATGTGTTCTGTGTAGTTGTCATGAAGTTGTGCATCACTGAAAAATCACTAACTCACACTGAAAAAAACCTACCTGAACTACCTTTAAGCAATGCTAAACTTGAAAATTATATTCATATAAGGGGTAAATAGCTCATATTAAACTTTCAACTTATTCTATCACTTAAAATTCATTAAGCTAGTTTTAGCTAAACAATTTATTTGAGTGTGATTAAAGTGAAAGATGCCTTACAAGACTGAAATTAGAGACAAAAACATGACCATTAGAGTTATATTTGCCACAAAACAGTATTTTATGCAGTAAATGTTACCTTGCATCCCTTTCAGACAGTGTTTTAGGCAAAATGTCTCTGTCCACATAAACTGTATTAGGGTAATACCACACTGTAAATCGAGTATCCTGAAGTCCACAAAGGATATTGCATGTATCACACCAGGCCACAGTATGCACCATTGTTCCTTCATGTAAAAAAGAACGTTAATGTTCCATTAGTTCTAATATATAAATATTAAAAGTACATCTTTAAAATCAGCTGACAAGATCCCAGCTAATTTCTAGTAGGTATGTCTAAGAAATGTGAGATCAAATGTTTTCAGATTCATTCAAGCAAGTAAACATTTTAGTATATGACACAGTACATCTAAGAAAATTAGAAATAATTAAAAGTTAAAATGTATTAAAATTATTTTACCAAGTTTGATAATTTGTTCTTCCTTCCCAAATCGTTTTACTGAAGTGATATAGAGATCTCTATTTTTATCAATGAAAGCAATTTTTCTATCATTGGTAAGTCCTTTTTGATCCAGAGCAATTTCCAAAATTTCAATCTAAAATTAAAAAAAAATTAAATGTTGGATTAGTTTTAGTGCTTGACATCAAGATCATTTTAATTAGTTATAAGAACATTTCTTTTTCTAACACTCATTTAAATGTCATTCTCCTACTTATAATGGTGAAATATCCTTGTTATCTAATTTTAAACTCCCAATATACCAATTAATTCAAGAGCTACACTAGAGTTGTACTCTGCATGCTATTATATGGTTTGGGTCTAGAAGTCCTCTCAAAACCTCATGCGGTCAGAGGTGAGGGTTTTTCAGAGGTGGCTGAATCTAGAGTGTGTGATGCTGGGATTATGGGTATGTAATTACTAAATCAGTACACTGACTGGTTTGGTAGTGCCCTATTCCTGGTAGCCTGTGTACAATATAGTGGACAGAAAGAGGCTTGTCTTGCCACTTGCTTGCTTTTGCTATCTTCTGGCCACGATGGACTGTTCTCTGTGTTGCCCCTCTGCCAGGCCACCCTGCCTTGGAGCTAGCCGATTATGGACTGAACATCTACACAGTTGGAGCTAAATAAACATTTCCCCCTTTAACTCTGGGTGTAGGGTATTTTCTTTCAGCAACGAGTGAAAAGTAACTAAGACACTTGCAATTCAAGGGACAAGTGTCCCTCAAATTACAATAAAATAATATATATTTAGATGATCTCTATACTGAGTAACACTCCCATCTGCCCCCCTGCCCTATCTTTAGTAGACAGGGTGAAAGGGTGAGACAAGTCTGAATATCACAGGACAGGTCTATTTGATTAATACATCCCTCACACCAAAAGGTATCCTAATCAGATTATTTAACACCTACAGATTTTTTTTTTTGGTACCGGGGATCAAACTTGGGTCCTTGAGCTTGTGCAGCAGGCGGTGAAATCACTGAGCCAAATCCCCGGCCCTAACACCTATAGTTTTAAAGTTTGTTAATAAATTAGGAAACATGCATAAGTATCACATTTCCAGAGCCTTAAAATTTATAGATTCTTTCATATTCATTTCCTATAAAACAGGAAATATGTCTATATTATAATACTTACCATACCATTGAGACCCACAGACATTAAGTAATTTTGGTCAGAAAAAGCTGGTACCAAGCATGTCTCAAATTTACAACTCAGACTCTTAACTCCAAGATCATCACTTTTTCCATAATAAAAGAGTATCTCTGGCATTCTTCATTAATCTATCATATGAGTTAGTAATGTGAATTTTTTTGTAACTTGGAAATGCTCTAGTATGGATTCAGTATGTTGGCCAGGCCGGCTTCAAAATCCTGGGCTCAAGCAATTCTCTTGCCTCTGCCTCATCTGAGTAGCTGATCTATCGGCACATGCCACAGTTCCTGACTCAAAAGAGGTTTATTTACTGATGACTATGTCTGAAGACTTTGTTAGGAACTGTGAATTCAATTAGAGTCACGATCACACCATCAGGTTATTGTGTTTATGTGTACCAGCACCCTTTAAAACAAAACAAAACAAAATATATATATACCTTTATCCAAATTGGTAGATCAGTATATACCAGTTCAAAGTGCATTTTTAAAAATTACCTCTTTTCTTAGATATTATAATTTATATTTTAAGGAAGAAAATAATTTTGTTTCAAGTATATCAAGATATGCACAAAATACAAGTGTATTTTCAAAATGAAAATCTTTCAAATAAATTAATCTTTACAATAATGAACTGTTTATCATTATCAAAAGAACAGTATATTTTTTAAAACAGTTAAACAGATATGATTTTCTTTTCTAAGAAATTCAAAATCAAGGCTGGGAATGTGGCTTAATGGTACAGGGCCCACCACTTAGCATGGATGAGACCCTAAATTCAATCCCAGTACTACTGAAAAAAATTAAAGATGGACACAGTTTGCAGTAGGAAATCAAAGTAGTTTTGTGTTCATTAGAATCCTCTCTCTTGCCCTACACTAATTAATACTCATTTAATAATACACAGACTTGAGTTTTAGTTTGGGTTTTGTTATTATTTGAGAAAATCTTAAATCTCAGTTTATTCACAGATGAAATAAGAGATAATGTGATTTTTCTATTATTTTACTGAATAAAAATTTTAAATTATTTGTATTAAACACAAATATCTTAGTAACTGAATGAAGTATGAGATGTAGAAGAAGTCACTTCCATTTTTATAATTAGAAAATTGTAAATTTCTTGTGCTTAGGAAATTCTTTTACTTTGGAAAATAACTCTAGCAAAAGAGTTATCACATTAAAATGAAAGTTTAACCTTAAAAAATGACTTTCATTTCAATAACACCAACAAAAATGACTATATCTTGACAGTTAAGAAGCTTACTTCTTTTTATATACTTACTACTACTTAAGAAAAAAATGTCTGCTTACATAGTCTTAATTTAAATGACTATTAAGGAGAGGTTGTAGAGAAATAGGCAACTCATATTAGTGGGAAGGAAAACTGATATAATCTTTTTGGAAGACAATTTAACTATACTTTATTTTTTTTTGGTACTGGAGATCAAACTCATAACCTTGCGCTTGTGAGGCAAGCATGGTGCCACTGAGCTAAATCCCCGGCCCTTAACAATACTTATTAAAACTACAAATACTCATTTCTTTTGAGGCAGCAACATTTCCTAACTTAATGCCACAGTTACCCTACAACATCTGCAAGAAGATATATATGAAAAGTTATTCACTTTGCCAATGCTGTAAAAGCAAGACTGGAAACAAATGTCCATCCTCTAGCCACAGATTAAATAAATTCTGATATATCCATAAAATGTTATATTATATGGTAGGGAGAGAAAGAGTTGGGAAAGCATAGATATGCTTCCATAGATTTGGAAAAATCTCTAGAAATAGTGCATTGTATGAAAACAACAATGTGCAGAGCTGTATGCTACATTCTTGTGTAAGAGGAAAATAATACATATTTGTTTTGTTTGTACATGGAATAAAAATCTCTGGAAGAATATATAAGAGATTAGTAACAGTGGTACTTGGTGAAGAACTGTATTTATGATTAATAAATATAGCGGGGAAACTTATTCACTGCATACTTTCTTTTTTTGGTATCAGGGATCAAACTCAGGTCCTTACACTTGCGAGGCAGGTGGTGGAACCACTGAGCTAAATCCCTGGCCCCTCTGCATACTTTTTAATGCTTTTTGATTTCTGAACCATATGAATGCATTCATTATTCAAATTTAAACCAGTCCTTGTAAAAAAAAAAAGGAAAGTGCAATTTAGAATAACACTTCACTAGAAGTATTAATAAAGTTAAAAGCGTATTTAGACACTAACGTGTCACTTAGAAAGATAATACAATGTGCTCCTTTGTTTAAGGCTAAAATATGAGAAACCAATAAACAAGTTTTTGTACTTTCTAGATGGAGTTTTTTTGTTCTTATAACTCATCCTAAAACTTAACAAAAATGATGGCTAAGGATAGGTCAATGAGAAAACTGCAAGAGGTTTGGAAAAAAATTATATATTGTATTTTCTTTTCTGTGTGCTGTAAGCTTAATCAAAATAGAACATGTTATTGAAAAGCAGTAGAGTCTAGACAACAGACATGTAAGTCAGATCTTTTTATGCAACTAATTTGCATAATAGCTTCCTATTGTGCTTTGTCTTTGTGACATTTTTAGGTAAAATATGTAGACTGCACACTGATTTAAAATACAAAACTAATTTGTTTTCTTTCTTAAAACTATTTTGAAAAAAAAAAATAGTAGCTATTTACATTAGAAATAGCTAAACTCCATTACCTTATGAGAAAGATGTTTCCCATCACCTAGTGGTTTTCCAGTTGATGCCTCAAAGAGAAAGATAACTTAAAAAAAGAAAAGAAGAACATTAATTAGTATATTACTGGTAAATTCCAGTGGGATTATAATCCTCATGAGACATTATTTAACTCTTTGGACTTTAGAGTAGGGATCAGCATAGAAGAGCAGTGTAAAATTTCCTATTTATTAATGGGGTCATACTTAGGACACATTTACTTAAAGCTATTATTAATGCCAAGGCATCAATACTCCTCCATAGGATCAACAATGGCAATTCAAATGTGGATGCATTTGTAATTCTGATATCTCTGATTTCAACCAGTATAACATCCTAGGCAATCATATTTGACAAAGGAAAAATAATGGTGAGTGCCTGCCACAATACTAGGTAATGTGTGTGTTTTCTGTTAATATGCTATGTGGTATAAGTAATTTGTCTGAACTTTGTCCTGGGTTCCTGGATGGGACCTTCAAAAACCCTTAAAGGGTCCCAAGATACAGGAATTTCTTTGTTATGTTAATGAAAAGACTCTTGACAGGCAACTGAATAGTTTCAGGATAAGGACTGATAATCAGAAAGACCAACCATGTGATTAGAAAGTTCCAACTTTTAGGTCTCTGACCTATAGAGATGGGAAGGGGACTGGAGACTGAGTTCAATTAGTGACCAATGATTTAATTAATTAAATCATGTAATAAGATTCCATTAGAAACTCCAGACACCAAAGCTCAGTGGAGCTTCCTCGTTGGTGAACACACTGACCTGAGGGGTGACTCATCCTTCCAGGCCTCAAGCTATGTGTATCCTTTATCATAAAACTTTAATCATAAATATAGTAATCATAAATATAGCATTCCTGAGTTCTAAGCCTTTTCAGCAAATTATCAAATGTGAAGGGGTCCTTTTGAATTTATAGACTGAAAGAAAAATAAGTTTCCAGGGACCCTCTGAGATGGTGATTCACATCTGAAGTGAAGGCAATCTTGTGGAAGATTTTATCTTTAAGCTTTAGGGTTTGTGCTAACTCCAGGTAATGTTCGAAATGGATTATGGTACACATAGTTGAGATGAAAATGGAAAAGTTTGGATGAGAAAATGTGGTATTTGCTAGAATGACCCTGACTCACTAAAATACTTATTTTAGGCAAAGAAGGAATAAAATGGCAGGAGGTGAGGAATTTGATTTTTTTTTTTTTTTTTGGTACCAGGGATCGAACTCGGGTCCTCACCTTGTGAGGCAGGCGCCAGAACCACTGAGCTAAATCCCCGGCCCAGGAATTTGATTTTTTAGTATCATCTATGGTATGAAATGATAGCTATATTGCAATCAGTTATTGGAAGTAAAAGTTACCTATGGAATTTAGAAATGATGGCTACAACTCCCAGGAAAGTGGCTCACTAAATTCATGCGAAAATGCAAAATAATAATTAAAAAATATGCAACTAAATCTGTAATAGCTAAAAATGAAAGTAAGAAGTGGGCAAATGGAATTACAGCCTCTAGTTTCAGGGCTTTTACTAAAAGAATATATTGGAAAGATTCCAATTCTGGCCACTGGCCCACTGCCATTTCCAAAGGAAAAAAGTTATACTGAATCTAATTATGAGGACCAGAATGATTCCCAAGAGAATGGGGATAGCTAGAAGGAAATGCTAAGGTGCTCATTCTAAGTGTGTGTGTGCGTGTGTGTGTGTGTGTGTGGGTGTGTGTGTTTATCTCTAAACAGTTAATAAGAAATGGGGTGAATACAATGTGGGAAAAAATTTTTAGAATTGAAAAAAATCAGACCCCCCCAAA